ATTTGCTCAACTGGCATTCCCAGACCCTTGAGGAGGCATCTTACTTAGCCTTGTTGTCACTAGAGTCAAACTGAATTTTCTTCAGGGGGTCAAAATGGTCCATTATACCAGCTGGGTACCTTAAAACCATGTCTATTACACTGAGTTCCCAAAGACTTGGCCAAATCTTCACAACCTTTCCTATCAGATATCCTTTGTCTATGGAACATCTTGAAAGACTATATAAGCCAAGGATATTTTTCAATCCGTGCAAGTAAAGTGAAAATATCTTTTTATATTAAAGCTGCCAGCTTCTCAAATAGAAAATTTTGTAAGAAAAAGGTATAAGATCAAGAGGAACAAATTAAATCGACCGAGTGCACTTTGAAGTGTCTCATAAGTTTTTAAAAAGCTCTTCTTCCTCCACTGATAATGGGAAGATGGAGGCCAGCTGTGTTCACATAAACCTCCTGTTGAAAATATGATAGAGCACGGAGATCTCAAAGCAGTCCTGAGAGTCAAACAGCATCAGCTCAACTGGGAACTTGTTAGAAATACAAATTCCCAAATCTCCGCTGGGGGGCGTGAGAGGGGTGGGCAGCAATCCCTCCAGGTGATTCTGATGTCAGCTAGTAATGAGGTCCAGGGACTCAGAAGTTGGAAGTCTAGCCTCTGGAGTCAGAGTGACGGGATTTGAATACCAGGATCTGCCCCTGGTAGAGAGTGTGACTTTGGGCAAGTTACTTAACTTGTCTTACTTAACTTGTCTCTGCTTTATTCCTCAGTGTAAAATGAAGACAATAATGGTTCCCAGCTCATTGGAACACTGGCAATGAGATAATATTATACATGTGAAAGTCTGGCAAAATGTTTGACAAAGACTCAATAAACATGAGCAATTATTTCTCTACATGATCACAGATGTCCAGTTTACTCATCTATTATATGATTAGCATTTATTGAGCATTTACCACAGACACGGGCAGTGAATAACTCAGGACTCCTGGCTGCATACTAGAATCACCAGGGAATTCTGATGAAATCCTACTGCCTGAGCCCTCCTCTATACCAAAAATAACAATCTCTGATAGTGGGACCCAAGCCTGGATATCCATTTAAAACTACTCAGGACATTTTAATGGAAGAAGCAAATCTACAAGCAAAAATTACAACCCAAAGCCCATGGAGCTGGGTGTATGCACATGATCCCAAAGAAACGTTTAGGGAGGAGTCGTTGGCCCAATGAAAGAAAACTTTCATTGGCACTTATATATTCCTCTCCTGTGTTACTGATCTTCTTAGGAAGCACGAATCATGTTTTCCTAAATCCTCAGTGCTTGCCACCATGCTGACAAAGAGGAGATGCTGGAGTCTGTCAGCGCAATGAGAAGCGAGCTCTGTTTCTACGCCTAGACCCTCCCAACTCCTGGAAGCCTGAGCACAGTGTTTCAGGTCAGAGGAGTAATTAGACAGCTGTCATCTCCATAACAAACTCTTGTATATATACCTTTCCTTGAATATACTGCCCAAGCCTCAAGGCTAGACATAATGGTTTCACATACCATTTCCAAGGGGAGGAGCGACAGGGGCAAAGCTTTTAAATTAATTAAAAGAGACACTCAGGCACACTTCATGCCATTCTTTAATCTCTGTTCTCCTGTGATAAATATAGACTGACAGGACCAGGCCTAGGCTAACGAGCTGAGGGTAGGACCCTATGGAGGCTCACCAAGCAGCCCTCAGAAACACTGCAGCAGGGCCAAGGGATCAGAAAAAGCAAGAAGAAAATCAGCACCTTCCCCAACTGTGTCACTGACATGTCGCCAGAGCGCTCTGAAGGATGCCCACTGCACATGTGATCACACCCCCCTTCAACTAGTAGCAATTAAAACAACAGAGCAAAGGAAAACAGCACGTATTATAATTAAAAAGAGAAGAAGAATAACAATTATAATTTACTGAGAGTTTTCTAGTGTCAGGCAGTGTGCTAAAGGCTTCCTGTGCAGTATTTCATTTCATTATGGTAACAAGCTTCCCAACCTTCCTTCCCTCCTAGTAGTATACACGTGCCTGTGTAGTTCCCTCACACACTGAATCACAGTTCATACATGTGGCCAAGAGAAGATTACAGAAGTAACTGCGACTTCTGAGCTTAGATCATAAAAGACGTCACCGCTTCTTGACACAACCTCTTGAATCACTTGCGCTGGGGGCAGACGGAGCCATGGAGCCAGGTGGACACTCAAGCAGACCCACGGTGAGGCCCACATGGACAGGAACCAGCCACGTGACTAGGCCACCTTAGACGTGGACCCTCCAGCTCTAGTCATAGCTTTGAGTCTTCCAGCTGAAGCCCCAGACATCACAGAGCAGAGAAGTCGTCACCACTGGGCCCTGTCTGAATGCCTGACCCACAGAACCCAGAAGATCACTGTCTTAAAAACTAAGCCCTGTAATTTATTATGCAGCAATAGCTAACTCATACGTAAGAGCTGGAGGCTCTTATTTTATAGCTGACGAGAGTTTAACTGATTCAATCGTGGGCGTAGTAAGTGAAATAATGGGGATTTGAATCCATGTTTGCAGATTTGAAGTTCTGACTCCTATTCTGTCACCACTCCTGACAGATAAACATATGGTGTGTAACGTATTTCCCACCCCTTTCATTAAGGGAACAATATGTATGTAATAGGAAGTTTTGAAGTATTTTGGTTGTCCCCAAGATACTTTGCCCATCCTACATGGCACCCACTATTCTGCCTTGTATTTCAGCTATTTCTCCATGGATAGATTAGAAGTTCCTGGAGGGTTGGAGTAGTGTCTTCCTTATGACGGTGCTTGTACATAGTAGAAGGATGGGGATAGGATGCCACTTTAATCCGCTAGACTCCCATCAATCGCCTGGTTTGGCAACTCTGCTCCACCACTCTCAGGCTGGGTGATCTTAGGCAAACGGCTTAAATTTTATGAGCCTCAGATTTCTCACTCTTATAACATGGGGCCAATATTAATGCACACTTTTGTTCACACTACATTAGAAAAATATTAGCACAAATAAAGTATAAGCACATTGCCTGGCATGTGCTAAGTGCTCGACGAATGTTACCTATTTGAATTATTACCATCAAATATGTGTTGAAAAACATCCAATATTTTAAATGGCCAAACAAAAGCTCTTCCCTCTCAACCTTTCCTTACATCAAAAGAGAACTTCCAAAGAAATGGCAGTGGTTCCTGGGAGCGAGGGTATCTTACTCTATAAGCACTGAAACCTTTGGCGTCACCTTGGCCATGGCTCCTACGACAGCCCAACCTGCCCTGCTGGAGTGGTGAGAGGGTGGGGGAAAGCTGCTGTACACTTCCACCGTCCAGTGGGACAATGTGCAGACGGCAATTTGGTTCTTTCTTGCAAAAAGAAACGTAAGGCAAAGAGGGTCTCACTCCCCCCAGCCTTATAAGCAGGGGTGTAGGGGGATTTTGCTTGCATCCTATCTCTTAATCCCATTACATCCTTATCATCTTGTCAGCACAGACAAAGCTCTTTAGCTCCTGCCAACACTCCCTCTAATGCCTTCCCTTGTGGTTCACTCTTTCTTGGTCTTGGAGCTAATAAGCTGTCAAATGTCTTACTGTCCCCTCAGGTGATTTCTACTCAAATGCTGTTTAGAGCCCCACCTCCCTTTGAATTTAGCTTTATGGCTCCTTCTTTTTTACACAGAGTTCTCTGTGTAAAATTCTGTTTGGGGTCCAAAATCTTTCCACAACCTTCCACTTCCAGGTAAGACTAAGAAAAGGGAAACTGGGAGAAACGCCAGCTACATTCACCCATGTCCAAATAAACACAAATTCCTAGTGTTGCTAGGTGCTAGGTTAGATTCTCAGATGGGAGGGTATAAGTGACCCCCTACCCAAAGTAACAGAGCAGATTTAAAAATACAACTATGAAACAAAGTGCCAAGGGAAGGATGCCAGGAGTGGCAGAGATAGAGGGCCCAGGAGAGCAGAGGAAGGACAAACACGGACAGGTGAGGACATGGGAGACATGAAATAGTCAGCCTTGGGTGTGGGCTCTGAGGGATGGACAATACTGAACCGAGGATGTGGGGAAGGGCAAAAGACCACTCTGGGCAGAAGGAATGAAGTGCAAGGAGGCAGAAAAGCATCAGACAAGTATGTGGAATGCAATGGATTTGTAGAGAAGCAGGGTCAGGGAGTGCAAAAAACAAGGTAGACTGGAGGACAGAACTCTGGCAACAATTTGCAATAAAGATTTTCAAAAAAGAGAAAAGTGAAGGTCTTTTGCAGATTATAGAGCAAATTGGTAACATGAATTTCATGATTAAGAATAAGTAACATGTTCTAATCAATTTCTCAGGTATCATGAATATAAAACCCTAAGACTAGAGAAGTGTCAATATATTTTCAAAGGAGGCGACATCAACTGAATTTCTAGATCACTCTTCCCCATATGTTAAATTTCCCTCACTGAAAGTTTTTGCTTGAACCAAAGAACTAGCTACAAGTCAAATACTTTTCAACTGCTTTTTTCCTAGTCTAGTTTTAAAAATTGTTACCCAAAGTGAGATGGCACATTTAGACAACTGAAGCCAGGAATCTGTTACCTACTTGCAAAGTCATTTCAATGATTTCCAAGACCCAGTACCATTAACCAGGCCGGTTTCAGGGTGGAGTAGATGAGTAACAGAGGTGAACATAACTATTGCTAGGTCTCGGGGTATCTGCCCTTAGTATCTTTTTCTATCTTCTCGCCCAAACTTACCAAGCTACTACACAGAGTAAGATCTCAAACAGAAATAGCTTCAGAATCAGAACTCCCTTCTTTCTCCTTAGAAGCAGAGAGCTAAGTTCAAAAAAGATCCAGAAAACATCACAGGCCATCAATCTCCATCTTGAAACAGGAAAAAGTCCCTGGTCACTGTTTCTGCGTCCTCCCAGTCCTAACAGACAGTCCCTGCACAACACAGAACAGAACACCGTGGCACCAGGCCAGGCAAACTCACCATATACCACATGCTTGGCCACTTGGGATCATTGAAGTAAGTGGACTGGGCGTGGCTAAAGTCATAATCTCTCTTGGTCCGTTTTTTTACCACTTGTTGTTGGATCCACTCCACCTGCCAAGAAGGACATTTGGTGAGTGTTCAAGTTCCATCAGGGTTAGCACAACATAAATGACAGTCTGGGACATTTCCATCTTGAGTCAGTTGTGTTTAAGTCACAGGTTTCATTCTGGCAACTAGAATCTCCAGAGCATAGAGATGCCCTGGAAACCTGGTTCTATTTTATCTTTAATGCAGGTAGGCTTTGTAGTCTTTTATGACAGATCATTCATATTTCTCAACAACATGCTCACCCCTTGAGCTTTTTCAGAAAGCATATTTTACTCCCAACTTATTGCAAATTGATAGTGTTAATTTTTAAAGCTAATTTATTCATCCTGACCTTATACTAAGGGCTAGAAAACTTCTCTAAAGGTCCAGATAATAAATATCTTTGGCTTTGCAGGTCATACAATCTCTGTTGTAACTACTCATTCTGCCATTGTAACACCATAGACAGCACATAAACAAATGGGTGTGAGTAGGTTCCAATAAAACTTGATGTATAAAAACAGGTGGGAGGCTGGATTTGGCCCACAGGCCACAGTTTATATCAAAAATTTTAAATGGTCTGGGATTACACATCAAATTAAGAGAATCATCCTCAGATCAAATGCTCTAGGATCACAAATTTTTTTAAAAAAATGGCTGTCTACAACAGAGTGGTGGAAAAAGCACTATTCAGGTAATCAGAAAACCAAAGCCCTAGACTTGTCTCTGGTACAAAATTGGAGAAGTCACTCAACTGTCTGAGCCATAGGTTCCCTGCCAGCTCCAAAATTCAAACCCTCTACATTTGGGAAAGTCTTAACATTTAGCCACAATTAGTTTTAAAAAAGCAACCGGGAACTTTGAGTTTAATACAGAATTGTAACCTAAATGGTATGGGTATGAATGGGGGTACTTTTAAAAACAGTTAATCATTATGGCAATATAAGAATAAGCATGTTTCATTTTGAACGGAGCATCTCAGATACAGTTTCAGCCCGGTGGCATTCTACCATTTGTTCCTAAATTCTCTTTGTTTGATTTCTTCTGGCAATAGCTAATTCAGTTGTAATACTCTAAAATGTTTCCACCATGTATCTCTACTCTCCACAAAGGAATCAAAAACTGGTGGGGGGAGGAAAACTTTGTGGTCCACTACTATGATCTGTGATTCCATACCCATCCATTCAGTAAAGATTTCAGAACCTCTCTCGCCTACTTCAAAGATTACTGTAGGAGAAGGAATACTAAAGGAACAATTAACAAGCTCAAAATGCACAGCTATAAACAAGGTACTAAGGCCAAAAGCCCAACTAATAAATTTCTATGATTCTCATATTGGGAAATATTATTCAACAAGAAGACTGGTATGCAAGATGAATTTAAATAGTGAATTCTTAGTTACATCACTAACAAGGCAAACAGAATCACACAGCCTCCTAAATAAGATCTATTTATGATTTGGATCACAGCTAAGCATCATATATGTGCATTTTCTGCTAGGTAATTCAAGCAAAATTATCAGTACAGAGAAAAGTCAATAAATGAAAAATAATATACTGGAAAATGAAAGTTTTCTGTTCCTGCTTTAATTAATCTAGACCAAGTGACTCAGTGGCACTGAATCATTCTACATCACACACACATGCACACACGTGTGCACACTGGATAAAAGGTATTACATGTTATTTCTTTAAACTATTGGACAATAGCTGTCAGGCAAGCTAATAAGGATCTTGTTTTTTCTTTACTCCAAGACACTGCTATTTAGAAATCACACTGAAACTAATGGGGCATTAAAAATGTGTGTAATTTTTTTAAATGAAGAGAGTAATTTTTAAAGTGACCATGTTTCTAAAAATACAGAACAAAATCAATTTCCTTCTCAACCAAAGTGGAGCAGCAAGCATGAGCATGCATGTATTTTGTCTATTTCCAGAAAACATTTTAATCTCTTTATTTCAAACAATCTTTCTAAGGAATGAGTTTCATAAAGTCATTTATTCATTCAATATGCAGTAAGTGCTTATTCAATACCAGACACTGTACTGGGAATTTAAAGATGACTAAGAATAATCTTTGCCTTTGATGGACTTAATTTTATCAAGGAATATTTAGCAATTATTCTAATTCTCCACCATAAAAGTGTCATTATCTTCATGAATGACATGTGATGCAGGATCTATCACTATACTAATTAGACCATTTATGACAATTTTGACTATGCAAATTACATTCACAGTCCTTATAGTACTGTCTCTTAAGACTTATCCCAATAAGATGGAACTAGTTCATATTTGCACACTTGGTAAAAGAAGGCTGCAGATCTGTTTAGACCAAATGCTTTTCAAACTAATTATATATTGGCAGTGATCTTTCCTAAGAGAGCGTCCATAAATCCGGAACTGCCAACATATATGTGTTCACAAATCAGAAGGTGTCAAATCTCGTGTGGACTCAATAAAGAGATGGCTCAAGCTCAGAACAAGTCTACAATAGGGTAGGGTGGATAACTGTCTCTATAATGACACTGTAAGTATGTACTTCTCCCTACATGTGTGCATGCATGCGCGCACACACACACACACACACACACACACACACACAAACGGACAAATGGGATAAGTATGTGAGAAAACCAAGTGACAGCCATTTTCCCAGATGAACTATAGGTACTAAAATAGAACAAAATACCTCACCAAACACCATCTCTTCTGTAATTTTACCAAACAAAAATGCTTAGTTACAGGGCTCAGTGGCTAGAAGGTAGCACAGCAAGTTGGCATCTACATTTGACTATAAGTCACTCTGTCTGATCACAGGGCTGCAATACTCAAGAAAAGTACACTTGTTTTTTTTTAGTGTCAGATACCATGTATTTTGTTTTGGTGCTTTACGAGTATGAGTCTATAGCCCTACATTTTTGGGAAAGCGGGAAAAGCACCCCTTGGGTCTGAAGATTTCTATGACTGGAAAGAGCATATTTATATTTTTAAACCATTATCCATATGTCTGTCCTTGAGACCTTAAAAAAAAAGCTCAGAGGTAATGTGTTATACAGATTTCACTTCTTGCCAAGAAGCCCAGTGCGACGAAAAACCAGTTAGAAATGCATTTTCATAAAACTATGGTCAGCCCAGGAAAAAAGGAAAACTGCGCTTTCCCTCACTGGTTTAACTTCTAAAAGTTCTATTTCCTATATATTATGGATCTACATTTAAGCCAGAGTATAAAAACCTTTAGACCTCTGAAATCAATCTAGCCTCCATTAGTTAAGCCACATGTGTGGTACGGCGTGTTAAGGACAGCCCCTCCCTCTACTCACAGAGTTCACCTGCCTACGTGGTCCACATGAACAGTGGGCATTTGCCACTTCAGAATCTTTGTCTAAACATGTTCTCTTTCATCAGTTTCATTTGTCAAGCAAAGCACGTTAATTGATGATTATGGGAAGCCTACCCACAGTCTCAGCTGAACTCATATCTCATGATTTTGGAATTTACCAACTTTCTGACACTATACACACAGGGAAGGAAATTTGTCAGCAATCAGAGAAAAGAGGATGTTATAGCCTATGAATCTACATTATATAAGTTATCATATAAATATAAACAGAAAACCAATTATGGTATCTATCACAAGAAAGACAAATACTGACTGCATGGTATCACTTATATGTAGAATCTAAAAACAAAAGTCAAAACTCATAAAAAAAGGTAGAAAAGTGGCTGCCAGGGGCTGGGGGTGGGGGAAATAGGGAGAAGTTGGTAAAAGGTACAAACTTAACAGCTGTAAGATGAATAAGGTCTGAGGATCTAATGAATAACATGGTGACTATAGCTGATAACACTATATTGTATAATTGAAATTTGCTAAGAGAGTAGAACTTAAATGTTCTCACCAAAAAAAAAAAAAAAGAAGATAAACATGTGAAGTGATGGATGTGTTAACTAGATGGGGGGATACTTTCAATAGATCAAATATATCAAATCAAAATGAGGTACACTTCAAGTGTCCTACACTTCAAGGGACACTTCAACATGTCAAGTTTTATATGTCAATTATGCCTCAATAAAACTGAAATTTAAAAATATGTAGTATCTCCACAGTGAGGAGAAATCAGCCCTTTAGATATTAAAATATATTAAAGGTAATGACTGAAACACATACTGATAGCAAATGTCTACAGGTATTGATATATCAATGGAATGGGATGGAAAGTCAAGAAACTGACAGAAAATATGTAAGAATATAGTATATGATGCGGCTGCTATCCTAAAGCAATGGGGGAAAACAGATTACTTTATAAATGATGTTGAAACATGAACCAACTGGGGAAAAAAATAAAATTAAAACCATTCCCACATCTTAATCAGGATCAGTTCCAAATGAATCATATTTAAAAGTAAAAGTAAACAAATAAACCTATATAAGTCCCATGAGAAAGGAAATTTTGAAAAATAACCTTAGAGTGGATGATGCTTGTCTAAGTATAATAAAAACCACAAAAGTGATTTGGAAAAATGGATACATTCAATTACAGAAAACATAAATTTGGCGTGGCAAAAATTTCTTCATAAACAAGGTAAAGACAAACTAGAGAAACATTTATAGCTGCTACCATGGACAAAGGCTCTT